ATCTTATCCTCTTTTATAAGGACATCTATCATTGGTTTTAGGGCCCGTTCTAATCCAGTATAACCTCATCTTAACTAATTATTTCTGAAAAGATCCTATTTCCAAATAAGGTCACATTCTGAGGTTCCAAATGGACATGAATTTGGGGGGACACTACTCAATCTACTATACTACTTCATAGAAATATTATAAGAACTAAGTTAACATAAGGATATATAAGGATATTACTATTTACTTAATATACATTAAGTTATAAGTATTTGTAATAGTATATAGCATATATTCAGAGGTTTGGGATATTAGTTCTTACTAAGGTTGACACTGAAGAAATGCTTATTCTTTCCTATCACTATTTTCTGTGCATAATATCAATATTCTAGTACAGGTAGAAATGCTGAGTCATATATTAATTCATAATAATGATTAACTCTCTCCTTGAGACTATTTCCTTGAAAAGCATACATGGCTCATATTTCTTTCCTGTCTAGTAAAATAGCTAAGATATTAAATAATGACAAAGGACACTTTAATTTTCCAAATTCTTACTTCAGATTTTGATCATTCAGGGGAAAAAAATGCTGACTAGCCTGCTTGTATTCATTTTCTGCCAACTGTCCTTAGGCAGTGACCTCTGTATGACTTTCCACATTGCAGAGCTCAACCTCTCATGGGACCTAATTTCCTTCCATAATAATTTGTCTACAACTGGCTTTAAAAAGGCATTGTTTTGATAGAAGGCTCCAGATTAAAAACAGACTGTAACTTTAGGAGAGTAGCCCCAGTTATTTGATGAAAGGACAGCTTGAAGATGCAGCACATTGATGTTGAGCCTAATACAAATTTTTTTTAACACTAAGGAAATAAAAATATATAGATATTACAAGCAGAATTTGGGGAAAAAAATGTTTACTCTGCCATTTAAGCAACACAATTTGGAAAAGTGTAAAACAGTGAGATGAAGGCTAGTGAGTCTTTATTTGTACCACATCTGTTTTGTTCACAGCCACACAGTCAGATGTTGGCCCAACTAGCACATCATTAATACTCAAATATTTGTGGAAGGACCATGTGACTGCATTGCTTGCAGGTGGTTGGGAGAAATGGAGAAACTTCTGGTTATTTTTCTGTGGCATTATTAACTTCATTTTCCAAATGGTCCATTTTCTCCAAATCAGATTTTATTACCTTCCTCTTCCTTTATCTTCTCCACCTTCTTTCTCCCCCAATACTTTGAAGTATAAAGTGCCCAATTGTTATGTGTTGGTGTGGTAAGCATGACTGTATGTAACAGAGGTTTGAGAAAAGTGAAAGTGAAGAAAATAAAATTTTTTCTTTTTCTTCCTTCTAATATTCTCAGGTGAAAAGTTAGCTACTTCTGAGAATTATTTGATTCCAGGGTTGTAGGATGAAATAGATATAGTGAAGGTATCGACCAAAGAATTTTTTAAATACATTTTTTATTGATTTCAAAGAGGAAGGGAAAAGGAGAGATAGATAGAAACATCAATGATAAGAGAGAACCATTGATTGGCTGCCTCCTGCACATGTCCCACTGGGGATTGAGCCTGCAACCCAGGCATGTGCCCTGACTGGGAATCGAACTGTGATCTCCTGGTTCATAGATTGATGCTCAATCACTGAGCACACCAGCCGGGTTCGCCCAGAGAATTCTTTATCCTTAGAGCAGGTGTTCTTACACATGATTCCATGAACAGCCTTAAGGTAGCCATCCTGAGCCTCATGAAATAGTGTGCACGTTGTGTGTACATATGCACGCTTGCTGTGTCTATGCAGATTTATTGTGTGTACATGCATATGTGTGCCATTGTTGAAGGAAGGGGCTTTGTTGATACCTTTTGTAATTCTCAAAAGAAATTAACTCCAAATAGGTAGAGAACCACTGAATTAGAAAGGTTGGTTTATATTGTTTGTCTTTTGTTCTGCTTTAGAGTTTCAGGTGGGACAATTCTGAGAATATTTGAAAGGAAAATGGACAGTATATGAAATTGCCAAACCATTTCAGATTTTGGGTCAATAAGAGGTTTTCCTTGAATTACCAACCTCTTTTTGAATTTGTTTAGCTGCTGTTTTCATGTCCTCAAAAGTCGGACTTTAGGATGCTTAACTCACAGTCGTTATCTCTGGCAGGTGAAGTATCCAGGCAGACTGATGTCATTTGTTTCCAGAACAGCATCAGAGCCCTTCAGGGCAAATTCTCTTACTAAGTCCTTGAGCAGGCACAAAGAAGATGATCTTTTGTGGTACAATGAGCCATCCTTGCATAACTAACGTATTTCTAACTGAACCTACAAACCAAACAAAACTAATCTTCTCAAAGAGCAAACCTCTTTAAAGGTTTTTCTTTAAGTTTCTGGAAGCTTTGGTTTGTCCTTTGTCTGGTATGAGCCTCTTGTTTGGTTTGAATCTCTTTCTTAACCTTCTGCGCTGAGTACATGATGTGCATACTTGATTCAAATCCTAGTTTTATTTTATCAGTACTTATATGTGTTTCCCAACTCTGTGTCTTAGTTTACAGCCTCTGGTATTCAGCTTTGTATCATAACAGATTCTCAATTTAAATAGCTGTGGCTGTTGTTAATAAAGCTTCCTCTATTGTTCCAGGCAATATCTTATCTAATAAAATTGTTTCCACACAATTTACTTATTGATTAATTCATTCACACACAAAAAAAAAAATGTTTGGGCACCTGCTATATGCTATGGATGCTTCTAGTTGCAGGGGAACAGAAAGATGAATATTATCCATGAAATCACTGCTTTGTGCTTGGTCAAAGCATGTGGCAATCAAGGTTGTCCAGAGATTTAAGCCTATTGAAGCCTCCAATCTTTAAATAAATTGGTTGACTATTTATCTAGAGTAGTGGTTCCCAACTGAGGATGTTTTACGCCCTACCTACCTCCCAGGGAAAGTTGGCAATTCCAGAGACATGTTAATTGTAACAAATAGAGGGTACTATTGGTACCTGGTTGGTAGAGGCCAGGGATGCTGGTAAACATTGACACAAACAGGATTGTCCCTCTCAGCAAAGAATTATCCGCAACAAAATGCCAATAATGCAATTATCCTAGGAAGGGTGATGACACTAGAGGCAGTGCCCTCTCCTTTGAGGTCCTGAGCAAGTCAGTTCTTACTAAACTGACCCACACAAGCATTAAAGACCCTTCTGAAGGATGGAATTTCCTACATCACAACTACACTCCCAGGGATGAATTGGCATTCCTCAAAGTTCAGCTTTCCAGTTGCCTATCCCTTAATCTGCCTCTGCTGTTCTTAAGGGGCTTTACAATTTAGGGAGGTATACCAAAAATGTACAACTCTGAACTGCTACTAAACTCTGTGCTGTACCAAAATGATGATGCTCTGTGATAAATACCAAGAGAGCTCAAAGAGATCAGTGCTTTGGGAGCACTGAGCAATGAAACTATCTGGCAGGTCTGGGAAGGCTTTGTAGAGCAGAAATTTTGAAGGAGGTGCTTGCCACATAGCTGATAAAAGACACTTTCCTCTTTGAAGCCATACCCTGCATCATTGCATTTATAACCAGTGATGAGACCTAGCCAGTTTGGCTCAGTGGATAGAGCGTCAGCCTGTGGACTGAAGGGTCCCAGGTTCAATTCTGGTCAAGGGCACATACCTGGGTTGCAGGCTTCTCTCCAGCCAAGGCTCTGGTCAGGGCATGTGCAGGAGGCAACCAATCAATGTGTTTCTCTTACATCAATATTGCTCTCTGTCTTTCCCTCCCTTCCACTCTCTCTAAAAATCAATGAAAAAAATATCCTTGGGTGAGGATTTTAAAAAATATATATATATATATATCTCCAGTGACTAGATATTCTAGGCTGCCCGTTCAGGAAAACCTGCTTCCATATTGTTCTACATCAAGCAAGACTCCTTTAGAAATCATGCAAGCCCAACTTCATAGGCTTTACTTTCACTGGCTTCTTTCTATTAAAGGTTTCAATAGTAGGTAGTTTCAACTGCGCAATTGTAGGTATTAGAGTTTAGTAGCAGTTCAGAGTTATACATTTTCAGCAAATGAATTATAAGTTTGGTTTTTGTTTTTTAAATTTATATGTACTGCCCTGCCAGTGTGGCTCAGTAGTTGAGCGTCAACTGATGAACCAGGAGGTCACAATTCGATTCCCAATCAGGACACATTCCAGGTGCTGGCTCAATCCCCAGTAGGGGGCATGCAGGAGGCAGCTGATCAATGATTCTCTCTCATTATTGATGTTTCTAACTCTCTCTCCCTCTCCTTTCCTCTCTGAAATCAATAAATATATTTATTTTAAAAGAAGTGCAGGTCACAATTTGTGTAGATGTTTATAAATGCTTTTCAAATACAATCTGTAGGAAAATCCAAGAGAACATCATTACTCCCTGTTAAATTAGTGTAATGGCATTAAATGTATTTGTGAAGCTATTAATTGTAAAATTGGTCATGATGGTTAAAAAGAATGGAATAGATGTTAAATGTCTGATATAATAATGAGGTTTTCATAATGTAGCCACCAGGAAGTTACAGGATTTCTCTTTACCCTCTGGAAATTGCAGGTTGATTGGAGGTACCTACACATTATGGAAATTTTCTCTTTCAGTTCATAATCAGTTATGACATTTCAAAAGGGGGTAACTTTGTATAATTGAAACTAACTTTTAAAGACGTTATCTTTTTTTCTGATAACTTTACAAAGACCTTTCATTAGTATTTTCATGTTATAAATACAATACAGGCACATCTCCAAAATACCATGGGTTCAATTCCAGATCACTGCAGTAAAGCCAGTCATAATTTTGCTGGTGGAGGGTCTTGCCTTTAATATGTAAAAAATAAAACTGTGAAATCCAATAAAACGAAGTATGCCTGTAATTCAATTTAAAAATCTTATTCCTTTTAGTTTTCACTATAAACTGAGTAGATACAAACATGCATGTCAGTTTCATTTTTTCATTACAACGTTTTTCTCTTTTATTTTAGTCTGATGCCAATGCAAGTTACTTAAGAGCGGCTCGAGCTGGACACTTGGAAAAGGCCCTTGACTACATAAAAAACGGAGTTGACATCAACATTTGCAATCAGGTGAGTTGTGGCTATTGTTGTTGTTGTTTTAATTCCTTAAATCTTTCATTAGATATTACCAAGACTTTCTCTTTTTTGCCAGTTTTTCTGTTAAATTTCACCAGCTTTAATTATCAAATTATTCTCTGCTTTGTTAGAGGAGTGCTCAGAAATGTAGGTATGCATCCTTTAACAATTCCTAAAATTTAGTAAGTAGTGATATTAGAACAGCGCAACTAATTTTCACGTACTTTTATTCCCAGTTCAGGCTTCTACACTGTCCACACACAAGTGGTTGTTGGTGGGATGTTTTCCCAGAGTTCCTGGTAGACTGTTTACTCCCCTATTTTCCATCTGCTGAGTAAAGCTTTCCCTTCCCTTTTAATCAGAATGGGTTGAATGCGCTCCATCTTGCCTCCAAAGAAGGCCACGTAGAAGTTGTTTCTGAACTGCTAAAGAGAGAAGCCAATGTGGATGCAGCTACAAAGGTTAGTATCACACATTTAATGCTTTTTATGTCACTTGCCAAACTCAATGAGGAGTTAGCTCTCCATAAAAATCAGAGCACGTTTCTCATGAAATACTTGTCAACTCTGTTCTCTTTGAAGAACTTAAAACAGGGGGATTTGATATTTTGTGAACTGTCAGAACAGAGAAAGATGGGAGTGTTGATGTATCTTGCTTTCATCTTACAGAAAGGAAACACAGCATTGCACATAGCATCTTTGGCTGGGCAAGCAGAGGTGGTAAAGGTCTTGGTTACAAATGGAGCCAATGTCAATGCACAATCTCAGGTAAACCGGCAACTCTATTGCAAAGTGATTTTGTTATAATTGACAAATAATGTTCGTTGGGTCAGGTGCTTAATTGGTTCATATATCCTCTAAGAATACAATACTGAAGAGCTACATTCAATGATTAGTTACATATTGTAGATTTTGAAATTCATACATTTTCTTATTTGCAATACGTGTGTGAGAGGTAGAGATTTTTTAAAGTCATCCATCTACATATGACTAGTAGTTATAGACACTAATGTTTAAGGGATATCTGTAATGCACAGTCTTATACTATTTCATGATGCTAGCTCAGGTCCTGTCTCAGTATTTATTAATCACAAAGGAAATGGTGATGCCTATAAATGAAAACATGCTCTTAGAAGTTCAGAATAATACATCAGTGCTTTATTGCATTAAAAAAGGGAAGACACTACTTAATTTCTGTCTCCTAACTAAGGTATCATTGTTAGTCCCTAAAACAGATTATAAACAAGAAAAAAACAAGCAGAATAAACTTTAAAAGCCCCAAACTTTAAAATTTCCAGATTCTATGTAATGGTTAGACACTGATCATTCATTGAATAGGTCCTCCTATAAGTTCTCAGAATCTTGTATGAAATTCTAAGAACACCAGTAGATGATCACTTGATAGACTTTGAGCCTAAAAGAATTAACTTCATTTTATTGGTTAAAAATATAGGTCCTCGTTTTCCAAATTGTTCACTATTTGAGTCTCCAGGGGCATGAGGTTGTGTAGGAAAGCAATCATCGTAGCACACAAATATTCACTAAGGACCTGACCATTTTTGAAGCTGTTCCCTACTCAGACATTCCTTCTGCTTGGATGCTGACACCTATCTTGGTTTGTCAGTCTACCCAGGGTGTTTGATATTGAACAGATTGGTTATAGAACAAGACTGCAAGCTTTGAAAAAGGTGAGACAGGAGTTTATGAGGCCAGGGAGAGAGATGTCGGAGAACTGCTGGGTGTACAGCTAAGCTGTGAGTATGTGGCTTCCTGGCGCTATTAGACCAGGCAGTGTGTGAAGTATTAGGCTGATTTTCTGATAGGTGTTTCAAATGAGAATTATTTTTAAATCAAATGATTAAATGACACAAAGTAATTAGGTGAGGCCTTTGGTTCTCAAATACTTTTTGCAAACAGACTGACTGTCTTCTTGCTTATGCTGTGGGGGGGAAAAGTGAAGTGAAAGATGTCAATCCATCAGATAATTTTGTTAGAAATATCACACTTTTTCTCTACAAAAATAGTATTTGGTTTAGTCTTTGTTCATTCTGCAATCTCATACACAAATGCAGTTATCACCTACGTTTTGTTAAATCATACAAACTTGCTTTTACAATTTCTAGTTTTATCTTTTAAGATAAAGTCTCAAACTTTTTCATTTCCTTTTGATCTCCATTCTGAGTGCACCTGATTTCTCCCCCATTTTCAGTACTGAGTATCTTTGGATATCAGGAGCCTCCTCCTGTAGTTCATGGGTCCAGAGAATGGCAGTGGCTTCCCCCCTTGTTACTATGGCCATAGAGGTGATCGCTCTGATGCCATTAAATATCAGTGTCGTGGAAAAGAAACTTCACGGTGCTTTCAACCACATGATTTCTTGTATATGTGGCCTAACTTCATTCTGGTTCCTTCTGGTCAGACTTGTCTCACCTGGTCCATACCACTTACTCTGATTCCCTAGGAGAGTTCACTTGGAGTGATAACACTTTTCCAGAAAGGAACGTTATAATGGTTGAATATTGATAAGTATTGTCATTTGAGAGAGACACAGACCGGCTGACTACAAGAGAAGCACCACGCGTTGAAACTTTTTTTAAATGCCCTTATAACTTTTTACTGGGAAGTAACTGGTGGGAAGCTCTGAGATAGTGGAAAAACTCTAATCCATTTCATTTCCTCCCCCCCCCCACCCCCGCCCCAAGGGAAGAAAAGTAAGCCTCCTTCTTTTAAACATTGCACACATTCTTGACATTCTAGAGCAGCCATAGTTTTAAACCTTCCTCTGCAACGTCTGGGAGAAGCTGCAGGCGAAGGGAAGCCCTAACCAGATTTTATTTCAATTTGTACACATTCTCTGGTGATGATGAAGCGAAGGAGAAGAACACAGGCTGCGAAATTCCTCTTTCCTTGCAGCTGTGCTTGGCCTACAGACCCTGCTCCACAATTCACAGTAGAGCATGTCTCCCTTCATCTGGACACCTGTCCCCATATGCCTTCTGAAATGCACTGTTCCGTGGACAGAATAAGTAATGAGATGACCATGCAGCGGAATGGAGTTTCCATGTTAATTCCTGGTAGCAACTTTTCAATAGGAACTCTTCTAATGAGCAAGCAGTAATGCCAGGAAATTCCACGTATGTGGCAACACATTAAAACATCACAGGAATACTAATATTCAAGAAAGATGGTATTTCTGTCTAAGTGAAATTTTACCCTCTGGGCAGTATTTAATAGCCAGTCAGAAATAGTGCAAGGAGAGTCCCTGGCCTTCCTGAAAAATAAGAATTTGTCTTACCTTGAAAATAAAAACATTGGACAACATCAAGTTCTGATCTTATAAACTGAGGCTCTGTGGAATAAGAATTTGTAGATATTATTTTGCTCTAATTCTTGTCTTCGCCTTGACCTTAGGTCTTAAGTTAGTTAACTCTTTCTTATATTACCTAACATCCCAAGAATCATTTAGGCCTACCCTGAGAAAACAATCAGGCTGAATTGTGATTGTTAAGAACTCTCTATGATTAAGTCCTTAATACAAAATTCTGCAATCATGTGAAACTGCCGTGTCAAATGGTATCCCTCACGCTTTTCTCCTTCTCTGTCTTTATTTTATACTATAAGGCACCCAAAGAAGCAAAAAGTCTTATAAAGAAGCAAATAATATATTTTATTGATTTGTTACAGAGAGGAAGGGAGAGGGATAGAGAGTTAGAAACATCAATGAGAGAGAAACATCGATCAGCTGCCTCCTGCACACCCCGCACTGGGGATGTGCCCGCAACCAAGGTACATGCCCTTGACCGGAATCGAACCTGGGTCCTTTCAGTCCGCAGGCCGACGCTCTATCCACTGAGCCAAACCGGTTAGGGCAAACGCAAATAATATTTTATTTTAGCTATCAAAGTATTCTAAATGGACAGGTTTTCATAATGGTGCCAACAACAACAACAAAAAAGGCTCTTTCAGTGAGCCAATGCCTCCTTAATCTTTATGTATTTTTTAATATTTCCTATGATGGGGAGATCAGGTCCTGATGAAGTGAAACAATGGGTGTGGTCCAGATAAGCCTCTGACCTTTGATCTGATAGCTCACCTCTATATGTGCATATTGATCACCATGCCCTTCACACTGTAATTAAGAACAGCATTTAATGATGTATAAGCCTGACCCTAGGAAACTAGGATGGATAAGAGAATCTCATGGATGAAGTTTCAGCCCTTACTTAAATGACAGGAGGACTTTATTTTATTTTAGTGGGTACTAGGCAGCAAGCCTCAGGACTACCCATAAAATTGTAGGTCTTCAGATTTCCATGCTTATAATAATATCAGAATAAACGTTCAGAGCAGAAGGTATTGAAGATTTTGGATAAAATCAGACATTAAAGGACATACTTGTTCAGTATTGAGCTGCTCTGCCTTTTGAGAATGGCCTCGATTATGGCTACAGAAGAGAAAAATGTAAAATTGGGCACCCATATGTTCCTTTTGGGCCAACTCTTTCTTTGGGAAATTTCCTAAGTTAGGAAATTAATATAAAAACAGTGCTGTACTTTTTTCTTAAGAGAAAATGGCATTTTTTTTGAAATCTGACCATTCTCCCAACCTAGGTACCGTTTCACAGAAAATCATTTCATCTGTAGGTTGTTCAATGGCAACGCATTGAAAGCCTTGTCTTACACCTCTTTGTGCTAGAGGGAAATGGTGGTGTTTATTCATGGCTCCATTTTGCTCTGACTCTTGTCTACATCTTATTTCTGAGGAATTCCAGCTCTACACATTGCACTCTTCCACATTATAAAAGGGGCTGTGGAATGATTTAAAAGTTGTGCCTCTTAAGAATCACTCCTTGAGCTCCAGGTCTGTAAGAATAACATTCCCTAAATCTCAGTGCCTGATTTTAGATTTTCTTCATGGGTCATAAAATGTTTAATTCTGGAAGCTAACCTCAGAACAGTGGACGTACATTGGCCTAGAAGCCAGATCAGTGTTTCTTATGTAATCTTGAACTACAGCACACCTCTCCCTGACATTGAAAATCCATGGACATAGAATATCTAGTTGATATTTATGTCTGAGAGAATAACATCTATTTTGGACTTTTTTTTCTTAACTACTTTACTCCTAGCCCTGGCCAGTGTGGCTCAGTTGGTTGGGTGTCATCCCATTCACCAAAAGGTTGCCAGGTCAATTTCCAGTGAGGGCATGTGCCTGGGTTGAGGGCTTGATTCCTGATAGGGGGCTTGTAGGAGGCAGCCGATTCATGTTCACTCTCACATCCATGTTCCTCTCTTAGGCTTTTCTTCTCCCTTCCCCTCTCTCTGAAAATCAATAAAAAACCTTTTTAAAATAACAACAAAAAAAAACAAAAATTCCTAAATACCTTCCATCTGGAAATTTCAGTTGATGAGGAAAGATAGATATGCAGTAGTTCACTGAGCTATAAGAAAAATCCACACGGTTTTCAGCTGGTGTTTTTATTTTTTCCCCTTAATATTATATTGTTAGTTTTTTCTTCTTCCTTGTGCTTTTGATTTTTAAGGAATATTTAAATCAACCATTAATTAAATGATCTTTTATTTCGATCACGTAAGAAAATAAGAAAATAGACGACAATGTGATAATGGTAATCTTAATTACATTTCAGTTTTCCTAAACAGTTCTGGGAAGTGTGACAAAGATGCAGCACATAGGCACACGCACATACATACACATGCAGACATGCACACAGACTGTGTAACAATTACTCCATGTTTCATGCTTAATGCTAATAAAACCTTTCATGACAAAACAGAGTAACATGAATCTTCAGTGGTGTTAATAGGTAGATAATTTAAAGGGAAGAAGCTTGAATGCTCTGTCATATTCTACTGCCTCTAATTTTATGTCTCTAATCTTGACCTTGGCAACCAAATAACCCAGGTTGTTACAATTATGTGTAACAACTTTTTAACTTCCTAATTCTCAGCTTTAAGCCAAAAAAAAAAAAAGGCCACCAGAGGTTGAATTATTGATAATGAAGGTAATTATATAGCAATTGATATTTATGATGAGCCTAACCTTTCGAATCACAAAAATTTGAGTAATATCCGATAACATTTTACTTAGAATTTATTTTTATTCTTTGAAAGTGCATAATGTATAAAATAAAATTTCCAGAGCATTCAGTTAAATAGAATTGCATTATGAAAAATCAATCAAAGAGAATTTATTATAGTTTGGAAAATATTTTGATATGTATATCTTGCAATAAGATTTTTAAATATTTCAGTATTTCATAGATGTGAAATACATTGGAACAAACACAAATGTTTTTAATAAGAAGCTTTATATATGTGTGGTACACATTTATTTGCTTGAATCTAAGTTTTTTGGCAGTTGGGCACATTTCAGACAAACCTACACACACATATATATAGAGAGAGAGAGTGTGTGTGTGTATGCATGTATATGTATAAATATATATGTATATGTGTATATATATTCTGAACATTAAAATAGTGTCTTTGCAAAAAATGAAAGGAAGTAAACTTGCAAAAATAGACTGCTTATCAAATTCCACTTTAAAATCAAAGTTTACCCTTTTGCAAATTAGTGTTCTTTCCTTTGCTCTGAGATTCCCCATCCATGGTAAGTGTGAAGCCATTTGAAATTAATATAAATTCTTTTCAAGGTAGAAACTATTTCAGATGCTTATTTTTATGTAAAAGTATTACATATTTTATTTAAAATAGATAATGCTCAGGAGGTACAATGATCAAATGTATTTTTCTTCATATCCTTTTGATATCTAGTACGATTCTTTATTTGTGGTAGGCACTCAAGTGGTTAAATGAATGTACTTTCTTATCTAAAGTGGATATATTAATATTAATTAAACTGTTACCTACAAACTACTTTCAAACTGAATTATGAAGTATAATTGTGAATTATATTTATATTATAAATTCATTTACATTATTGTGCTTAGGTGTTTTTAGTATATGTGAATGTCTCCATTAAAGTGTTATTAAATTATGTGTGAGTATTTCCTGAAACCTATAATATTATCAGTACAGTAGAAAAATAGATTGGCTCTAGAAAGCTGCAAACATTTTACTTTTTATTTTGCAGAATGGTTTCACCCCATTGTACATGGCAGCCCAGGAAAACCACCTGGAAGTTGTCAAGTTTCTTCTTGACAATGGTGCCAGCCAGAGCCTAGCCACAGAGGTAAGACACGTGGGTTCTTTCTGTGGGGAAGTTTGCATGTTTATAGGGCATTTTGTAACCCTGGAGTTGTAACATTTAACATTTATCTCACTGGTATTTTAATTGCAATTGTATATTAGTGTGTGGGTTCATACATTGTTATGAAATACATTAGAAAGTCTTTTTTTAATTTTTAAGAATTTTCCATTGCATAGATACACTTTCTGCTCTTAAATGCCTACCCCTACCCTATAATTGAGTTATTGCTTTAATATTTACCTATTGCTTGTGAACACTTTTCTGTTTTTTATCATTTTGCTTTGAAGACAACCACTGATTTGAAATATTTTTGTGGTAGAACATAAGTTCTGAATCAGTTTTCTTTCCAAGTTTAATTTAGCATAATAATATTTGAGTGTATAGATTTCTAAAGTCACCTAATTGGATTAAATTCATACATTCAAACAACACTATTACACATTTATAAGTAATAAATAAAATTGTTTTTCTAATCTTTGCAGCCCTGAATAGAAGAGTAATTTTCAAATAAAAAGTTATTTAAGTTATTGGTTCTATCTTGGATAATACATTTCATTTTTAAACTAATTTGGATGGAAGATGGCAAAGCCTTATGAAGTGTGTCACACAAATCTCTTGCAAATAATGAAGGAACCACATTTGGGTTTTCCGTATTTTTAACAAAATAATTAATTAGGACAGATGATGCAAGCTTATCTTTGTCGTAATACCACTGCCCTTATTTGCATTCAGATGTGCTTCCTGAATGGCACAGGAAAGTTAGGAATGAAGGACTCACATATAACCCCACCCCGCTTTTGCGATCATGCCTTCTGGAGAATGCACTAAATAAATGAAGAGGCAGTTCACACAAAAAGAAATACAAATGGCCACAACTGTATGAAAATATCTTACCCTCACTCATCGTCAAAGAAATATGAATTTATTCATCAGATTAAAAAAAATGAGGTCTATTCTTATACCCATGAGTTGAGGGGAAAACGTGAGGTTGAAGAAACTGAAACTTTCCTACAGTCTTGGCAAAGATGATAGTTTGCTGCACCACTTTTGCAGAACATTTAGCAGTAACTATTAAAAATGAATATTTCACACATTTTAATTCAGCAATTCCACTTCTAAGAATTCATATTACAGGTATGTTAGGGGATAAACACGAAATACGAAGTTCAAAATAATTAACACTTTTTTAAAAACTGGAGAGAACTTAAATATGCACCAATTAGGAAACTTGTTTAACATGACTGTAATTACACAAGAAAATACTATTCAGCATTATTAAAAATGAGACAAGACCATATATATATATCCTTAGTGTAACATGACTAGTGGTTGATTCTGAGAATTAGGAGGGTGCCTTACTTTTCATTTTACAGCCTTCAGTACAATTGAGGATTTTTATCATGAGAATGGGTTTTTTAATAATATTATTCTTAACTCTAGTTAAGAAATAACTGCTGAGTTGGTAACAAAGAACAAACATTTGATAGATGTAGGGCAGTGCCTGTCTTCACACCTCCGTAGGTAGCCTGGTTGCGACTCCTCCGGGCCACAGGCGGGCTCTGCCAGGTTGTGCAGGGAGAATGGGACGGGAGCAGACACTGTTGGATAAGAGAAGATCTGTTCCCACTTTTGGATGGAAACTCTAAATAATATAAGTACCCCAATGAAAATGATTCCACGGTACTTCCTTGTCTGTGAAGGACGGGTAGTATTATTTTCTGACTGCGAAGTACAGATCAGTAGTATCGCTCTTAGAAGCAAGCGTAAGTCCAACTTCCTGCGAGTAGATCTGAATTACCTTGTTAAGGAATCCTCAATAGCTCACTTAATTCTCTGGCATTTTTTTAAGCTTTCAAGATCCAACTGTAACTAACTTAAAGAAAAATAGTACCTGAGATTCTCAAACCACTAATTCCGTCTTTTGGCAAAGGATATATTTTAAAGCATTTTTACTTCTATATATTAACTTAATTTCATGTTAGCTTTTTCAGTGGCTCTAAAAAATGCAATAAATAAATGTTCTAAAAACAAATCACATTTATGTCTTCCTGGGGGTTGCTGGTGCCTCTCTACATAAACAGCAGCTGTCTGATTATCTAGCGATGTTTGAACCTTTGAACTTTCTGTCTTCTTTTGGATTATTGGTATTAGAGTTAAAAAGAACAGCAAGAAATAAGGCACTTTATTCACAAAATGTTTTAAGTACAATATTTCTTTCTTATTAACAATAATATTGGTGTCATTTTACAGAAGTCTGTATTTACAGAACAAACAGTAGGGGACAATTAAAGCATTGTTTAGGTAGCAAAGTTTTAATAGAATTAATTCATTAAATGATATGATATTCTCGTTTCTTCAATATATATTTTTTTCACATGCACCTTGCATTTTTGAATCGGGTCTTTGGCATGGCTGCGATTTTCAAACCATTTCTATGTTATTGGGTATTACATATCATATCTGTCCCATATATATCTTCCTTCTTTTTTTAATTTTTTATTATTACTTTTTTGTTAATCCTCACCCAAATATATTTTTCCATTTATTTTTAGAAAGAGTGGAAGGAAAGGAGAGAGAGAAACATTGATTGGTTGCCTCCCATATTTGCCCTGACCTAGGGCTGGGAATTGAGCCTACAAGGAGGTACGTGCCCTTGACCAGAATTGAACCTGGCAGCCTTCAGTCCACAAACTGACGCTCCATCTACTAAGATGCTCTACCACCTCAATTGCAGTTTATTTTTTTGTGCAAAGTAGTTTTCTTTATGCCTGGGTCCTATGGATTTAAAAATTTATGTCAGTGGAAATGTAGCCATTTCATTTTTATTTGGAACAGAAGTGGGTTTGGCTCAGTGGATAGAGCATCAGCCCTTGGACTGAAGGTCCCGGGCATGTACTTCATATCTCGGTTGCAGTCTTATTTGGGAGGCAACCAATGTGTGTGTCTCACATCCATGCTTCTCTCTGTCTGTCTTTCCCCCTCCCTTCCACTTTCTCTAAAAATCAATGGGAAAATATCCTCAGGTGAGGATTAACAAAATAAAAATTTAAAAGTGTATTTTCTTTTTATTGCAGAAATAATATAATACATAAATGAGAAAGTACAATGAAAAGCAGAAAGAAGAAAAGGCCACTGCCGATTTTCCCTAGAGATAACATTTTGTTTATTCTTCCAGATTTTTTTATACATGTACACAATACACACAGAGTTACTTTATGAAAATGAGATCCTATATTTACATATAGATGACTTTTCCCATAACATTAAATTACATTCTGAACTTTCTGTTCTTACATGTAAACCAGTGATCCTGTTTTGGTGACATCTTGGTTGCAGCCTTTCTCTTTTATCTTACTTACGGCTGCCTGGAACATTATCCTGGTTACATTAATGCTCGTCCCTTTCCTCTTTCGGGTCCACTTGGAAAAGTTGAAAGGAGCAGGTGCGATCTCAGCTAGGTCTTGAAGCATTGAGAGTAGACATAATTCTTATATGCAGAATGAGGAGGAGGACATTTCAGGGGAGCGAGAGGGGAAATTAGCATGAGTTTGGATGCCAGGGTAGGAATGGTCTGTACATCCACAGTCAGCAAGGAGACCGGACCAAAGGATTTAGATGAGTCTGGGCAATGTTGTCCCTTCAGTGTTTTAGGGCCAATATTTTCCGCATCCTTGAATATAAACGTGCTGATTTGTATTCAGTCAAATAAATGGTAGGAGGCCTTATCCGTTTTCCAGAAAGGAAAAGAATGAGGAAAAGGATCTTTTAGAAAGGCCAACAAGACACTAGTATGCAAGTGACTAGGTTTTCTCTTTCTCCCTTACAAATGCTTTTCTATTACAGTGACCCTTAATTTGTGCCACAAGGACTACAGAATAAAACATCATGACCCAATTAAAGTAATAAGTCATTTAATTGCCAATTCTCTAGTAAAAACAATTTTTAAATATTCTCTTGAGTTGTGTGGTAATGAAAGCATTTCAAAAGTAAAATTTGTGAGCCAGTCTCAGAATTTTCCTCTGTGCTATTTATTCTACAGTCAACAACACCAGATCATCCACAAATAAATTAACCACAGAGAAATCTGTAGCTGTCTCCTGTTTGTCAATTCCTAGGGCAATACAAAATGTACAAATATTTGTGTGGGAATTTATTCTAGGCATATTTTGCGTGGTCCCTGTGTCTTCTCTTTTTATTCAGAGAAGCCAAGAGTCTTTTATGTAGACCTTTCTTACAACAGCAATGATTACAATTCATTAATTTATATGGTCTGATTGAAAACCAGGTGTATGATAGGCAACAAGGGACAGTGATGAACCGGACAAGCATATTCCCCAATTTTAAAATATCAGTGGAATCCAGGATTCCAATTATGGGAATATATTGTAAGAATCCCGAAATACCAATTTGAAAGAATGCATGCGCCCTAGCTCGTTTGGCTCAGTGGATAGAGCGTCCACCCAGACTGAAGGGTCCCGGGTTCAATTCTGGTCAAGGGCACATGCCTGAGTTGTGGGCTCAATCCCCAGTAGGGGGCTTGCAAGAGATAGCCAATCAATGATTCTCCCTCATCATTGATTTTTCTATCTCTCCTCTCTGAAATCAATAAAACTATATATAAAAAAAGAATAGATGCACCCCTATGTTCATAGAAGCTTTATTTACAATAACCAAGATCTGGAAACAGCCCAAATGCCTATCGGTAGATGAATGGGTAAAATATCTGTGGAACATTTACACAATGGAATACTACTCAGCCATAAAAATAAGGAAATGTTACCATTTCAACAGCATGGATGGACCTGTAGAGTATTATACTAAGTGAAATAAGCCACTCAGAGAAAGACAACTATCATATGATCTCACTTATATGTAGAATCTACTGAACCAAATAAACTGATGAACAAAATAGAAACAGAGGCATAGATACCAGTACATGGAGCAGACTGACAGCTGTCAGAGGGGAGGGAAGGCGGGGGATTGGATTAAAGAAGGTGAAGGGATTAGTCAAAGAACATATATGCATAACCCATGGACACAGACAACAGTGTGGTGATGACCAGAGGGAAGAGAGGGTAGCAGCGACTGGGTGTGGAGGTGGGCAAAGAGGGGGGAAATGGGAACATCAGTAATAGTATAATCAATAAAAATAAAGGGGGGGAAATCAGTGGAGATTTTTATAGCTTACTTAAATTAGTTCCTTTGAAAAATGTGACTGGATTTAACCTGAAATGTTATTGTTTTCACTAAGATTATATTACGGGTTAATTAAATTTATGGCTTTTTAAGATTCTTTTTAAATTTTCAAAATTTACTCAATTAATGCACATCACTTTTTAACAGAAAGAAAACCCCATAAAGTTATTGAAATTTTCTTATTTTCCGCTTTGATATATGTATATTTGAAAATGTCTTTTCACATATCCAGGGGTGAGCAAACGTAGGTTTATAGTTATAATACAAACAAATAATAATTTATAAATAACAATACAAGAAAAAAACTCTGTGTTTCACGTATTCACGGCTATAAACCTACTTTTACCAACCCCTATATGTTTCCTTGCATGTGTTAGCTTTCGTTACCCTAAACAAAAATCGACCCTTGGTCACTTGATCGCCTTCTTATTTGTTAATTGAAAAGAAAATATGCATTGGGACCAACCTTGACCCGTCCATTTATCTACAGGATGGCTTCACGCCGTTGGCAGTGGCTTTGCAACAAGGTCATGATCAAGTGGTGTCCCTCCTGCTAGAAAATGACACGAAAGGCAAAGTGCGGCTTCCGGCTCTTCACATCGCCGCCCGAAAGGATGACACGAAAGCTGCCGCCCTGCTGCTGCAGAATGACCACAACGCAGACGTGGAGTCCAAGGTGAGGCGCCGGGGAAGCTCCTCTCCTGCAGCCATCCTGCGTAGGCACCCCAACTTTCAGATGCTTGGCCTCCCTTTTGGCAAGCTGCTGCCAAACTTGCAACTCCACTGGCAGGGAGAAAAGCACGTGTCCCAGTCAGCCAGTGGAAGCACCTTCCCCTCACCCCTTAAAGCTAGGAAGTCACCCTGGATGCTGCCCTATGCATGCTAACAGGGAGGCCCCCTCAAAATCGATGCATATGAACCTGATCGCTTCCTCCCTCGTAATAGATCTGTAATGTCTTTAACTCTTCAGCGCAAACATCAGAGTGAAAAGTTACAAAATGCTAACAGCAGGGTGTGCAGATCATCCTTTGGATGCTAGCTAAGATGGCAGGAGACACGCTGCGTGTGGGCCACCTGCGGAGAGCGTGCCGGCAGCCAGAGTCCTGGCCAGAAATTCCCATTGTCCTGACATGTGTTCCTGGAGAGTCTTGGAAGGAACGAGGCATTTGGAGTAGGCCACCGTGTAGCCTTCCTTCAGTCTAGCTTTCTTTCTGTGCCTTTTGTGCTTCCATCAGAGCTTTCATCCTCATTCCTTAGCTGCCGTGAGCTTTCTGCAGTCCATGTCACCGACAGCGAACTAACCGTTCATTTTTTCCTCCTCTTTGCTTCCCAATGTGTTACCCTAGATGGTGGTGAATAGAACAACAGAGGTACATATCTATCTACATGTACATAGAATCTGTATCTGCATCATCGTGTCCCCATCCCTCAGTGCTGCGGCCTCATTTCCTTCCCTTCTTCTTTGCATTGCCTTCTGTAGGCTAGATACCTGCTTTCTACCCCCGCCCCCCAAGGAGCATGTGCTAGAGAAGACAGTAGTTTGGTTACCAGGGCTTTCTGCAGCTGAACCCGGTGTTTGAAAGGAAGAATGAGGAATCCTTGAATCTTAAGGGGATTGCCATAGAGGTGTGTGTGAGATGAAGCATTTCCAACACTTGAGATGCTTACCAGCTCTACCCAAAGCTGCAGACAACCCTGCCATTCTCTCCTCTAGGACTGATTCTGTAGAGTTCTGCATGACACTTACCCTCAATGGTGTCAGCAAAATGAAAGTGACCTCAGAATGGTACCACCATGACCCACCCGTCCACAGGAGTCAGTGAGCTAGCTAGCATGGCTGCGAAGCTTGCTAACAATTTAGAAATGCATCTAGTTCCTATAAGGTTTCAATCTTTGGGGACTAAGTGAATCGCTGCATGTTTTAGCATTTTTTTTAAGGAAGTAAAATGACCTTGGTAGGAATAATCCAGAAAAATGTGTTCTCGAATAGGCATTTGCTAATAAAGAGACCAACTGGTGGATTCTTTCTAGAATGCAATCACCCACTATACAAGACCAATTACAATGCACCTCTTCCCCCAAATTGCTTTTATCTTTATAATTTGATCTTACATTGAATACATAAAACAAATCAAATTTTGGCAAAGAGTATCAATGGACAATTCTGCCATCAATAGTAAAACAGTTGGTACTAATTGAACTTTCTATGAGCTATAAGGATTTTTCTTGTCATCCCGATTTTAACTTTTGAAACGTTGGCTTCTCTATGTACTGCTACCAGATTCCTAAAACTGCTCAATCTCCGCCCTTGGATCCTTCCTGGCTCTTCCTCTGCCTACGAGTCTGGCGTTTATTTGAAGCCCTGTGAGCAATTGGCACTAACCGAAAGAAACCTAGTACAGAATGGAATGCGGACCTCAGCATATTTTGCTTCCTCATTTTTATTTGGGCGGGGCTTTCATCCTGGCATGTCAGACAGGGGCCGGCAGGACTCCACTGAACGTCTGCTGTTTTCTCCTTGCAGAGTGGCTTCACTCCGCTCCACATAGCGGCTCACTATGGAAACATCAATGTAGCCACGTTGCTGTTAAACCGAGCGGCCGCCGTGGACTTCACTGCAAGGGTAAGAGCGCTGCCCTGGGTGCGCCTTTAAAGCATTTGAAGTGATTCTTACCCTTCCTTTCCCAGCACGAGCAGGAGGTGGAGGCAGGTGGCCTTGCTTTGAAACAGGTGTGGTATTTCCTAGCAGAAAAAATAAACCAAGATGGGGTTGAGGGGTGATAAATACATGTACGGGAATATATGGGAGATATGGCTCAAGTAATCCTGACTGGAAACCACCAACCTTTCCGCAAGTTGAAATGTCTGAGACTGGTAGAAATTGGTCACGTGCAGCCACTGGGGCTTTAGGTATCAGGATCTTGACCTTCTGGTTGGGAATGCTCTGGGATATCTGGATGAGGCCCTAACTTGAGAACCCAAATAATAGAAGCCATCTTTTGCTTTTATCTTCTGTCCCCTCCAAACTAGCATAGTGAGTAACAAGATTCTGTCACCTGAGTGAGCTCATAGTCCTGGAGAAAGGAATTGGCGTCCTGTGTATCGTGGACAGCAATTGGACGCTTGACCAGAGTAACTGCTCAGAATGTAAAAGTCGGCTCAGTGCTAGGCTTACTCCTCAGAAACATCATCATCAGAAGTAGAAATGAAGAAGAAAGCAGATTGGAGCAGTGGCTAAAAGCGTGGCCTCGGGATTCAGTCTCCCTGAGTTCAAATTTGGGCTTTAATTTTCCTCTCTCTGTCCACCAGTTTCCTCCTTTGTAAGATAAAAGAATATGAATTATAATGTTATATGATAATAAAATATTAGTATCACTCCCCCAGTGGGTCACTGTGAGAATTAAGAACAGAGAGTGTGTGTAAAGCACTTGGCCATGTCTGACATATCACCATCGACAGCAGCAGCAGCACTGATTTTGAACATAACATTTGAAGTATTCGTTTTGCTGAAACCTCACTTGTTCGAGGAGAAACAGAGTTAGATCACATAGGGAGATATAGGGCATAATATTAGTACTAGCAGTATCAGCAGCAGTAAACGTAATACTGTCTTGGAAGGAGTTACTGGGTGCAGATGCCCAGCTAAGCATTTTTGCCTCGTTTATTCTTATATCCAGAAAAGTATTACTTATCCCTGTTTTACAGAAGAGGAAACCAAGGCTTAGAGATAAGAAGTAGCTGGTCCAGGATGACAGCTTGAAAATGAGAAAAGGCAGGATTTCAGCCCCCAAACACGTACTCGCTCCCGTGTTTCGTCTCCCATAGGTGACTTTCGGGATTCTTTTTTCTTTTTCTTATAATTTATTAGTCCAATAAAAATTAGTAAGAGCTCAGCTTGCACTAATATGAAAGCTATTTCCTACCCTATCGTCATCAGCTTGCTAAGAGCCTTCCTGGTTTCAGTGACTTGGGAGTGCCCGTCAGCTCATGCCGCTCTGTTCTTCCTGTATCCGCTGCATCCTTAGGCTTCAGTGACAGGCAGACCTGAGGGCTAGTTTGACGTTTCGGACGACAAAGTTAGGCACCTCTTTAAGTCAAGTAAAAAGCAGGCATGTCAATATTTACACTGAGGTTCTTGTCTGTAAGATGCATTGCTCTGGTTTTATTTCTGTAATTCACAGTATGATGAGAACCTCATTAAGTCACATCTTCTAAATGGGACATTTGGAAAATCATGTCAGGGTAGTGTCTGAAGTTTGTCTGTGTGCCACTGGTTCGGAAATGTCCTGATGCTGCAGAAAATAAGAAGAATGGAACAATGTTTAAGCAACATAAGGGGGCAAATTACTGTATTTTCAGCATCAAAGCAATTCCAAAGCATCCATTTACATTGAAACAATGATGTGGTAATTACAAATGATGCTAATGTATCGAGTAAACATCAATGGAGACCTTAGAGGAATGTTGTTAAAGTTGCCTGAGTTACCATATAAGATTTAAAATAATTGCATGTGGTTTTGTTTAACACATGTTAAAATTCAGACTTGTTACTGGTTTGAAAAGCATTTAGTCCAGTCATGCCTAATCAATGAGGCCTAATAGTATTCTGAGCTGAAGAATGTGGTAGAATTTGATCATCCCTTATAGGCTGCCTGCTCTGTGCTTCCCTCTGTGCTTGGTGATGGATGACTTGCTTTAGAGTATCGGGAAGAACTGGTCTTCATAAAGAGCTTGAGAAACCCATTTTGGTTCCAAATCTCTAGTAATTCTATTTCATAATAATCCAGCATCTATAGGGTCTGGATTAATATTTTTATTAATCTCCTTTTGGGCATCAGCCCAGTTAATCACCCTACTGCTTGCCCCGTTCAGATCCTAGCCATGTGATGCCCAGATCACATGGTTATTTTTCTGTGGCATTATCAACTTCGTTTTTCAAGTGGTCCATTTTCTCCAAATCGGATTTTATTACCCTCCTCTTGCTTTGTCTTTTCTACCTTCTTTCTCCCCCAGTACTTTGAAGTATAACTGGGCTAGTTGGGTCATATTCCAGGTCACCACCCTCAAGAATGTAACAGAAATAGCAGGTGAAAAGGTAAGATGCCCTGAACTGATGAGATCAGATTTTACCTGGCCAGGCCACGGAGGATCTTTAAGCTACATTTGCTGAGAACTGGCAGCAAGTCATGGGCTTCGGGAACCGGGTTTAGATAGAGATACTGATTAAATGGTTAGAGAGAAAGCCAACAACAAAGCTACCTTTGTCTGAGGGGCTGTGATTTCTGTTTCCTGGCTGTGACAGATCATGGAAGAGGGGCAGGTGTTGTCTTGTAGTTCTTTGTGGGTGGACGGCATAGCCTAGGGCTGTGGTCGGCAAACTGAGGCTCTTGAGCCACATGCAGCTCTTTGGCCCCTTGAGTGTGGCCACGAAGTTTTAATCGCACTGTACGTGCGCGCCCGCACATGGTATTTTGTGGAAGAGCCACACTCAAGGGGCCGCAGTTTGCCGACCACTGGCCTAGGGAATGGCTGTCCTCTAGGAAAGAGAGCTGGAAGACATGGGCAAGGCCACCAGTTGTGAAATAATTTCCTGCAAACAACGGGTATGCATTTCCAAAGCAGACAAGAGGCAGAAATAAACACAGTGTGACTAAAGGGAGTATGCAATAAAGCGGATTGCTTTCTTTGCATTTTTGCAGGATTAGCTAATTTATGCAGCAATAAAGCAGATCCTAGCCTATGAAGAAAGTATACCCCTGCGTAGCAATTACGGTAACCGATTTATGCCAAATGGACCTGTTTATCAACACCTTTCCTTAGATTTTTATTATGATGTCAGTTTTGATTTTTGTGTTGTAATTTTCCTAGGTACATGTAAGCTATCCTGTCTGATATTTTCTATATTTCCTTCTGGGTTACCCATGAAGACCTGCTCAGCCTCGCGGGTCCACTGCAGGGAGTTAATGGAGAAGCTGCTGTATGCTGCCATGCAGCGTCAGCATTCTTCATTCTTTGAATTGAGTCTGCTGAGGTGGCGTTGACACTGTCTAAATTTATGGGTGACCCTTGCTCTCGACAAATCATTCTAACTCTCTTGGGAAGAGAGGGTAACCAAGGCACACCAGAGCTGCTACTGATTATCATTCCAGGAAGGAGCATTTGTGCACGGGAGCAAATAAAGGCAAATTATATTATGTGGATGCTTGCAAAGTCCCTTTTATTGATTGAGGAAGAGAGATTGATATCTTGCTGGCTAAGAGTTTTTTCATCAAATATAATGGACCACCTAACTTAATCTTCACACTTGTCATTGACCTTCCTCTTGTAAAGTATTATTCAACTTCCCATCTGGGGAAGATAATTGAATTTTCAAATTCTTCTGTTGGCCTTGTTTATTTAGTACTTTTTGGTTTGAGTGCTATACCTCATTTGTTTCCAAAAGGACTTCAGGTAGTGCACAGGTTAAAATATACAAAGTAGGACATGTAAGAAGGAAAGCGAAAAAGTGTTTGTTACCAGCGCTGGAATAAACTAGTGAATACAACTAGAGAATAAATTTAGGTCTTAGGGACGTTGATATATGTAATGGAAAGAGAAACATGGTTATCTATAAAAACAATTTTGTGTGTGTGAAATAACTAAAATATGATTTTTATTATGTGAATTACATAGTTGACAGTATCTTTAATTACTGCACTTCAGAAGGATCAATTCTTACTGCCTCGTCCTTTTCATGCTAAATCTCCACCCGTGAAGGCCCCTTGCCGAGGGTGGCTGAGTGATTGAGCTAGGTCAGTGGTTCTCAACCTTCCTAATGCCCTGACCCGTTAATACAGTTCCTCATGTTGTGGTGACCCCCAACCATAAAATTATTTTCGTTGCTACTTCATAACTGTAATTTTGCTACTGTTATGAATCGTCATGTAAATATCTGATATGCAGGATGTATTTTCATTGTTACAAATTGAACATAATTAAAGCATAGTGATTAATCACTAAAACAATATGTAATTATATATGTGTTTTCCGATGGTCTTAGGCGACCCCTGTGAAACCGCTGAGCTAGGTGCTTATCTTTATGATGTTTTAATTGTGTGTGATAGAACTTGGCAATGACTACATGGCATGTCCATTGGACTGCCTTTTTCAAACACCAGATGTCTTGAATGAAGTTTTGGCAGGTGCTGGGCCACATTCAGAATTCAATTAAATTACACAAAGGTTTACTTTATTTATTAAATAGTAATTTAATGTTATATTAAAATGAGAGCAGTGTTTTTAGATAGTTTTAACTACTAAGCCTGTTGGTGGAAAAATAAGTGTCAGACGTACATTCTGCCCAAAGAAGAGGCCAATATGGTTCAGCATGTGCATGAGCAAAACAGGATCCAGGGATAGACAATATTTGGAGAGTTCATTTTTTTAATTTAAATTGTTTAAAGTATTACATATGTCTCCTTTTTCCCCCATTGACCTCTCCCTGGCCACTCCCACTCCCCAGCACATGCCCTCACAACCCCCAACTGTGTGTTGGAGATTTCCTTTTTAAGATTAAATTAAAACTAGAAAATAAGCTTCTATTATGAGCTAGACCTGGAGGTTCAGATTTGAGTGACCTGCTGT